CTGGTAGAGCATTTGCATTTTATTTGTTTGCACCCAGTGTATCTTTAATATGATGGCAATTCCACAGCTACTGCAATTTAAATTCATCCATGTTTTCTGAAACCCCTATTTTAATATTTGCTTCTACATCAAGAGAGTGTCCTTTGACCCTGACACTAGGCATCCTGAGAGAGCTTTGTAGATAACAATCACATGAGTAAGCAGTGCAGATATGATTAAACCGAATATTTTTATGGAGTGCCACACATATGCTTGTAAACATTAATAAAACGTTATACATACCATTATTTTCCATCAGATCCTTATGCAATCTTAGATGTAAATACAGCATTCAGAAATGTTTCTTTATGTCCTGTGTTCTTATGTTACATCATAGATCCAGGTAAGGTCCACATACATGCTGTGAGAATATATCATGTCACAGAATTTTAAAATTTGCAAACTCACTTTAGATGAAAATAAAAGTATGAAGCATCTTTAGAATATTTATAGTCACTCACCTGTATCTGAAAATGTCTCTTTTGTTGAACAAATGTTTCTGCCCATGCACATTTGCTCAGAGTCTTTGTTTTTTTTTTCTTTCTTTCACAATCAGTGCTGTGATGGTTGGTTTCTTGTAGGTAGAGTGGGAATGTCTCAAACTTGATCATGGGGCTTTTTCAGAGATCTCCTGTTGGAGAACTCAGCAGTGTGGATTCTGGGGGTGATAATAGTTTTCTTGCAGTCTCCATTTCTCCTCAGGTTTCCTGGAAAACTACTCAGTATGTCTGTGAGCTGTGTTTGAATTAGTCTCACATCTCACAGCTAAAGTGAAATCCTCAGAGAAAGAGACATTTTTCTTGATAGTTTCTCTCTGGGTTTATCCTATTGACAATTTACAGAACGTTTCATTTATGTTCCATGGGAAATTATAGGCGATTTTTTGAAGAATCTCTCACCTTTTTGCTTCCCACAATTGTATCGTGGATTGTTTCTTAGATTTGGAAACTGTTTTCAAGAATGCTTTCATGCGTGTCACGTAGCTTTTTGGAAATATACCATTTGGTCATTTGTTAATTTTCTTTGTTGTATATATGGATAAATTCAACTTCTCTAATAACAACCATATCATGATAACCTCTCCTCACAGGAAATCATTGTTTAGAAATTCCTTCACCTTTAGCACATTGCATCCTTATATTTGAAGTAAATACTTTAATAGAAAGTATTGTAAAGAAAATTTGTATCCTTATTTGGAAGACGTACTCGATTTCATGTTTGGTTTGGGGCATATTATATATATGAATTTGAAGACATCATGAATTAAAATATAAACACATAGTATTTTATTATTTTTCTCTATTGTGTTTCTTTTCCTCTTTCTGAGATTGATTCTATTTAAAGATAGCATGCAGTGTCTTTCATTCCTTTGTAAACCTGACTACTAGTTTCTCTAGGTTTTCTCTTTGTTTGCTGTTCACAAAACTACACACTGACTTGCCTGGTGTCAGCAGTTAGTTCCATTCCCGCTGACACTGTCTCTGTGCTTTCTTTCTCCTACATTTTCTCCAGGGATTGTTTTTATTAAAGTCCTTGAGTGTGGATACTGACTGGGGACAGAGTTCACAGTGCACATTAGATGAGCATATTCTTCATTAGTAAAGGTCTGGAGCTGGTCTTGTTTATATTTTCAATATGAGAACTTTTGTGCATTGTCACTTTCTTTTGTTTATGTCTCTTTTTGGGGAGGGGGGGCAGGGTTTCTCTGGGACACAGCACTGGTTGTCTTATAAGTCACTAGGCTGACCTCATACAAAAAGAGAACCCTGCATGCCTCTGCATCCCAAAGGCTGAAATCAATAAAGTAGAAACTAGGAAAACAATACAAAGAATCAATGCAATGAAGAGTTGGTTCTTTGAGAAAATCAACAAGATAGACAAACCTTTGTGAAAACTTACCAAACAGCTGAGTGTGAACATGAAAATTCACAAATTCAGAAATGAAAAGGGGGACATAACAACGGACTCTGAGAAAATTCAGAGAATCATCATGTCATAATTTGAAAATCTGTACTCCACAAAATTCGAAAATTTAAAAGAAATGGTCGACTTCCTGGGTAGCTATCACTTGCCAAAATTAAATCAAGAACTGATAAGCAATTTAAATAGACCTATATCCACTATGGAAATAGAAGCAGTCATCTAAAGTCTCCCATCAAAAAAAGCCCAGGTCCAGATGGCCTCAGTACAGAATTCTACCAGAAATTCAAAGAACAGCATATACCATTTCTTCTCAAAATATTCCACACAATAGAAGCAGAAGGGTCTTTGCCAAACTCTTTCTACAAGGCTTCAATAACCTTGATTCCCCAAGCCACACAAAGACACAACTAAGAAAGAGAACTTCAGACCAATATCCCTCATGAACATTGATGCAAAAATACTCAACAAAATACTGGCAAATTGAATCCAAGAACACATCAAAACAATGATTCACCACAATCAAGTAGGTTTCAACCCAGGGATGCAGAGATGTTTCAACATATGAAAATCCATCAATGTAATCACCATATAAACAAGCTTTAAAAACAAAATTCACATGAATATCTCACTAGATGCTGAAAAAGCCTTTGACAAAATACAACAACCCTTCATGATAAAGGTCTTGGAGAGATCTGGGAAAACAGGAACATACCTACACATAATAAAAGCTATATACAGTAACCCAACAGCCAACATCAAACTAAATGGACAAAAAATCAATGCAATTCCTCTAAAATCAGGAACAAGACAAGGCTGTCCACTCTCTCCATACCTTTTCAAGATTTTCCTTGAAGTTCTAGCCAGAGCCATACGACAAAACGGGATTTAGGGGATACAAATTGGGAAGGAAAAGGTCAAACGTTCACTACTTGCACATGATATGATAGTTTAGATAAATGACCCAAAGAACTCTACCGGGGAACTCTTACTGCTGATTAACACCTTCAGAAAAGTGGCAGGCTACAAGATCAACTCAAGAAAATCAGTAGCCCTACAATATGCAGATGATAAAAGGGCTGAGAAAGAAATCAGCGAAATTTCCACAAACAACATAAAATACCTTGAGGTAATGCTAACCAAACAAGGGAAAGTATGACATCACAAGACCTTTAGTCTTTAAAGAAAGAAATTAAAGAAGCCCCCAGAAAATGGAAAGATATCCCATGCTCTTGGAGAGGTAGGATCAATGCAGTAAAAATGGTAATCCTGCCAAAAGCAATCTACAGATTCAATGCAATACCCATTAGAATACCAGCACAATTCTTCACAGACCTTGAAAGAATAATAATCAATTTTGTATGGAAAAACAAAAGACCCAGTATAGCCAAAAGAACCCTGATTAACAAGGCAACGTCCAGAGGCATCACCATCCCTGACTTCAAGCTGTATTATAGAGCTATAGTCCTGAAAACAGCTTATATACAGCACTAAAATAGACAGGTAGACCAGTATATTCGAACTGAAAATCCTGAGACACCTTCCTGAACATATCACAAGTAGCACAGACAGTGAGATCAACAATTAATAAATGGGACCTCCTGAAACTTAGAAGCTTCTATAACGCAAAGCACAGAGTCATCAAGACAAAAAGGCAGCCCACAGAATGGGAAAAATATTAACTGTCCCGACATCTGAAAGAGGGCTGGCTGATCTCCAAAATTTACAAAGAACTCAAGAAGCAAGTCTCCAAAACAACAAAGGATCCAATTAAAAAGTGGGCTACAGAACTAAATACAGAATTTTCAATAGAGGAGTCTAAAATGGCTGAGAGACTCTTGAGAAAGTGCTCAACATCCTTAGCCATCTGGAAAATGCAAATCAAAACAACTGAGATACCATCTCACTCCTGTCAGAATGGCTAAAAGCAAAAACACCAACGACAATTTATGCTGGAGAGGATGTGATGAAAGGGGGATACTCCTCCACTGCTGGTGGGAGTGTCATCTTGTACAGCCACTTTGGAAATCAGTGTGGAGATTTCTCAGATAAATGGGAATAAACCTACCACAAGACCCAGCAACTCCACTCTTAGGCATATATCCAAAAGATGCACATTCATACAACCAGGACATCTGTTCCACTATGTTTATAGCAGCATTATTTGTAAGAGCCAGAATTTAGAGGCAACCTAGATGCCCCTCAAGTGAAGAGTGGTTACAGAAAATGTGGTACATTTACACAGTGGAGGACTATTCAGCAGAAAAAAATGGAATCCTGAAATTTACAGGCAAATGGATGGCACTAGAAGAAACCATCCTGAGCGAGGTAACCCAGTCACAAAAAGAGAAACATGGCATGTACTCTCTCATATATGGATTTTAGACATAGACCTGGGGAGTGCCAGCCTACAATCCCATGGCCAGAGAATCTGGGAAACAGAACCTTCATTCAATGGCTGATGGAAGCAGAGGCAGACTCCCACGGCTAAGCACTGAGTTGAACTCAAGAAAGACAGTGACAGAGAGGGAGGACTGATGACCAAAGGGTAAAGACTTTATTGTCTTAACCCCCAGGAATAGCTGACCTGACAAGGGTTTGCTCTTGAATCCCAGACTGATACCTACTAATGCAGCATGGGACTGATCAAGACCCCCCTAAATCTGGGTGTCAGTGAGGAGGCCAAGATAATATATTGACCATTGGGTATTCATCACGGGTATACCAATGGACTTTGGATTCCCATCCAACAATGAGAGATGCACTCTCACCCTGAACACTTGGGGGAGGGTCTAGGCCCTGCCCTGGATAAAATTACAGACTATTGACAACTGCATGGAAGTTCTCAACCTCCCTGCGGTGAGGGAATATTGGAGGGGGGTTGGTGGGAGGGCATTGGACGAAGGGAGGGAAACATAGAGGAAGGTGGAATTGACATATGAAGCATTCTTTCTAATTTAGATTAAATAACTATATATATATATATATACATATATATATATAAAGAAACAAAAAGGAAAAATATAACCAAGTACAAGAAGTACATGTAAGATGGAAGCTTGGTTTTATTGAAGGAATTGAGGGCAGCAAATCAGAAAAATTTACATTTACATGCAACAGAACATGTTATTGCTAAAATCACAGTGGTAAACTTTATGTAATTTACCAAAGGCCACAACCATGATGCTCCAGATGACTTAACCTGACACATTTACACACAGAGATGAGAAGGCACAATATCTCAGTTATTAAGATGATTTAAAATATGTTGTACTGTATCTTAGGAACCCATGTGAAAGGGTCTTTGAATCCCAAAGGAGTCACAGACAACAGGCTGATAACTGCTATGCTATTATCAAGCTCTTGTTTTCAACAAATTTGGAGAAACAAATACTGAGTTGGGCACATATTTGTGAAATACAATTCTTGGGGAGGTACAACATGCACGTTTATCTACTTGCCCCATCGGGAAAGTGTAAACAAAATGAAGTTCAACTCGTTGAACTAAATGCTTTATTAGAATTGTCTACAGGAATATGGGGAAGCAGTTGCTTATCAGAGCATAAAGGTCTCAAACACAGTTGCTATCATGGAAATCAAAACCAGCTATAAAACAGCTTATGAAAAATGCACACCTGGAACACATTGCATACCTGTAAGCATATGTACAAGTGAAGAGCATCCTTTCTTAGTGGTTAAATTATTCTTCTAAGGGTTATGACTTCTCTCAGCTTCTTCATTTGAGTTAAACACATTGAATCCTGTCAGTGCTGGAGAGTTCTTGAAGCTGTTTTGAGTGCTGTGGTCCTGCCCTAATCAGCTTTCTTTAAGAATGGATCATTCTAGTCTCCAGGACACTTACACAACAGCGCATACTTCAGGATTCAACCTATTTGAGGTTGAACAAATAAAGTTTTAATCAAAAATTTCACAACTATCCATGCTTTCTAAGATTTGAAAATAACTTAAAATTCTTTCACAAATTTGTCATGTTCATGATTCCATAGTGTGGAGTCTCAAGTGTAGCAAAGGTTACAGTTTGATTGAAGCACATGCCAATTTTTCCCCATTGAAATTTTATCTCTGTTATGAATTTTGACAAACGTTCTTAGATGGGAGGGGCTGGTAAAGTCTTTTGAATGTATATTATATTTGTAAGTTTTCACTCCCATGTGAATATTTGTATGTATTATCAACATTATTTTTAGACAACACATTACTCAGGTTGAGTTTTCTGGTGGATGATATACTTAAAACTTTAGTTTCACACCATGATGAAATATTCCAGAACATATTCTAAGTATTGAAAACAACAGTAAAGGATTTCTCAAATTTGCTATATTTGTAAGGTGTTTCTATGTATTCTCTGGTGAGTTCTAAGACTGCCATTTCTGCTAAATGATTTGATACACTCACTATATTTGTAAGATTTTTCTCCTGTGTGGATTCTCTGATAAGCTCTAATATGGTGTCTTCTGTTAAAGTATTTGCCACATTCACTAAAATTGTAAGTTTTCTCTCCTATGTGAATTCTCTGATGCGTTATAAGACCAGTTTTCTCGTTAAGGATATGTCACATTCACTACATTTGTAAGGCTTCTCTCCTGTGTGGATTCTCTGATGAGATCAAAGATTATCTTACTCGGAAAAGGATTTGTCACATTCACTACAAATGTAAGGTTTCTCTCCTGTGTGAATTCTCTGATGAGTTATAAGACTTTGTTTTCTCGTTAAGGACTTGTCACATTCACTGTATTTGTAAGGCTTCTCTTCTGTGTGGATTCCCTGATGAGCTCTAAGATGGTCTTTCTTGGGAAAGGATTTGTCCCATTCACTACATTTGTATGGTTTCTCTAATGTGTGGATTCTATGATGAGTTCTAACACAGTCTCTTTTGGTAAAGTATTTGTCACATTTACTACAATTGTAAAGTTTCTCTCCCGTGTGAATTTTATGATGAGCTATAAGACTTCGTTTTCTGGTTAAGGATTTGTTCCATTCACTACATTTGTAAGGTTTCTCTCCTATGTGGATTCTCTGGTGAGTTTGAAGACAGTCTTTTGTGTTAAAGGATTGATAACATTCATTACATTGTTAAGGATTCTCTCCTATGTGCAATCTCAGATGAGTTGTCAGATAGAATTTCCTGGAAAAGGATTTGTCACATTCAGGGCATTTGTAAGGCTTCTCTCCAGTGTGGAATCTCTGATGAGTGGTAAGATGTTACTTCTTGAAAAAGAATTGTCACCTTCACTACATTTGTAACGTTTATCTCCTGTGTGGATTCTCTGATGAGTTCTAAGATTGTCTTTTGTGTTAACGGATTTATCACATTCACTACATTTGTAAGGTTTCTCTCCTGTGTGGATTCTCTGATGAGTTGTAAGATTACATTTATCTGTGAAACATTTGTCACATTCACTACATTTGTAAGGTTTCTCTCGGGCCTGGATGTTGAAATTTCTATTAAACTTTGATAAATAATTAAAGCACTTACCATACTCTGTACATTTGTCGGGATTTTCTCTACAATGGATTTTGTAATTTGTAGTGAGTTGTGAAATATGCAGAAATAATTTACTACATTTTGTACATGTATAGGGTTTCTCTCTAGTATGAGATCTCTGATGCCTAATAAGGTTTGAGTGAGTCTTGAAGAATTCACATTGCATGCATTGATGTGGATGCTCTCCTCAATCAGTTTCTTTAAATTTGGTTTTTGTATTAGACTCAAAAGATGCATCATACTCTGCATTTTTGTAGTCTTCCTTTCCTATGTGAGTTCTTTGATTTTGGCTAAAGATGCAACACAAATACAAAAACTTTACACAATATTGATATTTGCAAGTTTCTTCCCAAGAATTCCCAATGTTGTGTCTGTTTAGGTTTAAGGTTTCATTAGAGGTATCTCTGTGGTTTCAAATCTCTACTTGTTGACAGTTTTGGCAGTATCCCTTGTGTCATAACATGTATATTGCCAGGATTCAGGAACCACTTTGCCAGACTCACTACATATATAAGACTTCTTTTGAATACTTTCATGGTCATGGATAAAATGCTTTGTGCCTTGGTGCAAGACTGCCACCCATTTGCCACATACGTGATGGAACTCTGAAAAATTAGTACAATTGTGAATAATAGTAATTAATGCATGAGTAACAGATTTAATACCTGTTATCTTAGGGTTTCTATGACATATAAACTAGTACCTTTCTGGGACATAGGCCTTTTCTATTAAACAATCAATAAACGGATGTTCAGAATCTCCAATTTGATCTACAGCAAATCACAGTAACCTATAATGGCCTACTCATTGTTTTTTTTTTAATTTTGCTTTTTTCATTTATTTGACATCCTTCCACAGTTTCCCTTACCCACTTTCTTTGTGATCCCTCTCCCTGGCTCGGCATCATGACCCCACGAAGTCCTCCTCTGTTTTTGTTCTCAAAGAGGCAGTTCTCACATGGATGTCCACAAAGCATGGCATACTACGTTGAGGTATATCTAAGCTCCTCCCTTTGTATTAAGGCTGTTTGAAGCCACCAACTCTGAGGAATATTTTCCTGGATACCAAGTCATAGTATTAGGGAAACGTTTTGATCCCATTGCCAGGAGTTCCACAAATAGACCAAACTAAACAACTGTCATTCAAATTTAGATGCCCTAAGTCATTCCAGTGAAGAGGCTTCAGGTTCTATATAAATATTGTCCATTGCAGCTGGTCAGACTGAGAAGGAAAGAACTTGAGAAAGAAGCTCTGTGAAGGATCATATGAAGAATGATTCCCTACATCTTCAGATTTGAGACAGAGCAACATAACTTGGGATTCATAAACCACATTTGCAGAGAACTAAACGTGTCCTCTGGCTTCAGGGTCTAAAGTAGAAATATTAATATCATGCTGTGCCAGTACTATACATGGCAATCATAAAATAAATTGATGAACCACACAAACTTCTTATACCAACAGCCCATTCTCTAAAACATTTTGCATTTTTTAAAATGAGAAATATGTGAAGAGTTAAATCCAGTAATAAAATTAAAATATTCTAATTGTGATAATTAAAACAATATATTTCCATGCCCTGACAAGTCAATATTCCTTGAACTTTGAAATGTTGTTTGTATACGAGATAGGAGGTAGAAAGAGATCACAGAGAAGAAAGCATTCTTTACTCTTCTAGAGAACACAGAAAATGTAAATGAAACACCAGTTCTCTTGGTAACCAAAATTATCTTCATTTCTGGGATTTTCTAGTTCCCAAGAATTTACAGATACACAAAGTAGGGAAATGAAAAGGATGAATCAGGAAATCTATTAGAAGAGAACTCTTACCCACAAAAAGCAGATTGTTGTAATTCTCCAACATCACATCCATGTACAAAGCCCTCTGTTCACAGTCTGGACATTCCCATTCTTCCGGTGAGAAGTCTACAAAGACAATATATAGGTAGACATAGTACATTGCTTACATTAATTTGGTGTCTCTCCTCCATGAATATTCTGATGTTTTCTAAGACTTGAGTACCATAAAATATTGCCAAATGTCTAAATTTGAAAAATTTTGTCTCCTGTTTACAGTCTGCAATATCTTAAAGTCCTTTTAAAGGTACATTGATTGCTAGCACACACATGGCACTACAAAAGAAGATGTACTCTCTGATCCGTGAGGTCCTTTGCTGCACCTTATAGGCAGGAGTCATACACACTACATATACTTTCTGGCAAACATATGGAAACACATAAAATAATATTACCATTTAATATTATTAAAAGATACTTTCTATAACATTCAGGGACTATTGTACTTTTTTTCTTTGTAAAAGCAGGATGACATAATAGGCTTGCAATTGGCAAACTTTTAGGGAATACAACATACACACTTGAGTCCTAGATGTAGGAATGTACCTTTACGACATATGTGCTGATATCAAACAGAATCTCATTGTCATGTCTCTGATGCTAAGATTATAATGAGCAAAAGTATGCTTTGAATCTGTACACCAGTCAACCTCACTTAAATATGGACACTACATGGATGCTGTCTGAAGCTGTGTTCACATGACTATTCCAAAATGCTCAGTTCAGGTCCTGAGGCCCGCTTATACTGCTGCACACTCTCTAGGACAAAGAGGTTGGATTCAGAATGCAGAATCCATGGATAAAATAAACTCACTTTTTTATTGAGTGTAAGGAGTGTAAAATCATTGCATATATCCAATGCTGTATACAACACACAGAATCAAGTACTTTGTGAAGCTATTTCATGAGGATTAATTACAGCCATGAAATAAACAGAAAAGCTGAATTACACATTAGTGTTATTTGAATTTTTCTAAAAGTTGACACAAACAATATTGAAAATAACAATTTAATGAATAACACTTCAGAATACTTAGAAATATATATGGAAAGAGAGGGATATGTGACCAAGCAATCAGATGAACTAGAATTGTTTTCAGTTACCAAAACAAATGTATGCAAAGAAATGAGAAATAATCTAACTCTTTAGGAATTTTGAATACATTAGTGTCTATGCAATTGACAGAAATGAAAACTTAAAACTCTTCTTTTCAACTCTATTACCGTATGTGTGTTGTGACTATATTAAAGTAATCATTTTCCTTCTTTCATAACCTGGAATTTGCTGACTTATATGGATAAATCTGTACATGTTAAAAAGTTTTTTTAATGCTTCCTCTTTTGAGGGAATTATAGATGGCCATTCACCTTGTGATTTCTGCAAACTCAGATTGTATTTCTCTATTTGCATGAGTTACATTACCTCCAGTCATTAGAATGGTCCTCCTTGTGTCATTTTCTTTTTTTGGGGGGGGGTAGGAAAGGGTTTATTTGGCTTATACTTCCTCAGTACTGTTCATCATTGGAGGAAGTCAGGACAGGAACTCAAACAATGAAGGGACCTGGAGGCAGAGGCCATGGAGGAACGCTGTTTACTGGCTTGTGCCTCATGGCTTGCTCAGCCTGCTTTCTTAGAGCACCCAGGACCACCAGCCCAGGAGTGGCACCACCCACAATGAGTTGGGCCCTCCCACATCAACCACTAATTAAGAAAATGTGCTACAGGCTTGGCTACAGCCCAGTCGTATGGGGAATCATTTTTTTTAAAATTGAGGTTCCATTCTTTCTAATAACTTTAGCTTGTGTCAAGTTCTAGGAACTCTAAATATCATAGTGTATTTACTCTGACTTCATTTTCTTTCTTTTTTTTTTAAGCATTTTTCTTCCAAATTTTATTCTTTTTTTTTTCCAGTTTAAATTTAGATAAGAAACAAGGTTGCTTCACAAGTCAATTCCCGGTCCCTCTCCCTTTCCCTCCTTCCTCCCATGCCCTTCCCCCCCCCTTATCCCCTCATTCCCCCAGGGAGGGTGAGGCCCTCCATGGGGGTGTCCATAGTCTGTCATTTTCTTAATGTAATTTGTGACCATTATTCTTTTGTTTGATTGGATTTTTTTTTCTTAATTTCTTCTCGTTTCTTGAAGTGGAGAAAGTGGAGAGCTCATTAGACAGCTGTTTGCTCATCACACACTCTCTAGGCAGACAAAGTTAGAAGCAAATAATTTAAACGTTTCTCTCTTTGTTGAGATTTAAGTGGCCCAAGCAGATCATGCTCCACTAGGTGTGGGGATTTGTTTTGGTTTGATTTGATTTGACGTATTTAGGTGCTTGGGCAGCTTGTATGTGTGTGCAGTAAGCTTGCCTGATGAAAGCCATTATGTAAATGATCCCGTGGTTGGCAGCTTTACAGGGCAGGAAACCAGAAGCCAAGAGTTGTGGGCGGAGCAAGGAGGAGCCTCTTTGGGGAACCAGGCTGAAGGAACCGGAAATTCCTCCATTCCCTGTTGTACTCGGGGATCCTCCTGGTCCAAACCTGGGGATCCTCCTGGTCCAAACCTGATAAGAAATTGAGGCAGGGTCCGAGGGAAACAGAAAATCCGGAGCCGCAGTGTCCGCGCGGGGCGGGCGGCCTGGGAAAGTCAGCATCAGCAGCAGCGCAGTGGCGGGAACCGCAGCCCGGCGGCCCTGGAACCTCCCAGGTCAGAGGAGCCGCGGGCCTGGGACCCGGGAGGGAGGGGCGGGGCTGTGCCCGCTGAGCTGCTCACAAGGACACTGTCAGCTCTGCAGGCGCCCGGGGCGGGGAGGCTGCTGCTCAGGTCGTCACCCGAGGCCGGGTGTGGTCGTTTCCGTCCGAAAGAGCCAGTCCTGGTTTGCTCTCTGACCGCTTCTCTCTCTGTCTGGGGTCTCCTCTCTCCTGGCCCCGCACCCAGACGGCCTTCCCTTCTGCTCATCCTCCTCCCCAGGCATGAGCTCACCTAGACCTGTTGCTCATGGAGTGCGCTGTTAGGTACCCAGTGTCCACCGCCTTATCCTTACAGACACAGCTTTCGATATTCTGTCGTTGATATCTTTCCATGGACGGCAGGTTTGAGATACCATGAAGTGGCCATTATTCTGTGTTTCCTTTCCTTTTTCACACATATGCTTGTAAACGTTAATGTAACGTTTTACATCCCATTATTTTCCATCAGATCCACGTGCAATCTTAGATGTAAATACAGCATTCAGAAATGTGTCTTCATGTGCTGTGTTCTCATGTTACATCATAGATCCAGGCAAGGTCAACATGCATGCTGTGAGAATATATCATGTCACATAATTTTACAATTAGCAAACTCACTTTAAATGAAAATGAAATTGTGAAGCATCTTTTGAATATTTATAGTCGCTCACCTGTATCTGAAAATGTCTCTTTTGTTGAAGAAAGGGTCTCTGCCCATGCACATTTGCCGGAGTGTGGTTTTTCTTTTCTTCCATGATCAATGCTGTGACTGTTGGTCTGTTGTAGGAGAAGTGGGAATGTCTCAGCCATGCTCACAGTGCATTTACAGAGATCTCCTGCTGGAGAACTGCAGCAATGATCTGGTGTGAGAATAGTTTCTTGCAGTCTCCCTTGCTCCTCCTCAGGGTTCCTGGAAAACTGCTCAGCATGTCTGTGAGCTGTGTTGGAAATACTCTCACATCTCACAGTTAAAGGGAAATCCTCAGAGTAAGAGACATTTTTCTTGATATTTTCTCTCCGTGTTTATCCTATTGACAATTTGTAGCACATTTCATTTATGTTACATGGGAAATTCTGGGCGATATTTGGAAGAATCTCTTTCTCGACTGCCTCCAACAAATGTATCCTGGGTTGTTTCTTAAATTTGGAAAGTGTTTTCCAGAATGCTTTCTTGTGTGTCACATAGCTTTTTGGAAATATACCAGTTGGTCATTTGGTAATTCTCTTTGTTTTATATATGGATAAATTCAACTTTTTAAATGGCAACCATATCATGACCAACTCACCTGACAGGAAATGTTGTTTTAGAAATTCCTTCACCTTTAGCAGTTTGCATCCTTATATTTGAAGTAAATACATTAATAGAAAGTATACATTTTGATTTTAGAGTGTTTTTTCCTTTTTTAAGGAAAATCTGTATCCTTCTTTTGAAGATATACTCGATTACATGTTGGGTTTGAGGCATCATATACATATACATTTGAAGACATCATGAAGTAAAATATAAACACATAGTATTTTGTTATTTTTCTCTGTTGTGTTTCTTTTCCTCTTTCTGAGATTGTTTCTATTTAAAGATAGCATGCAGTGTCTTTCATTCCTTTGTAAACCTGACTACTAGTTTCTCTAGGTTTTCTCTTTTTCTTGTTTGCTGTTCACAAAACTACACACTGACTTGCCTGGTGTCAGCAGATAGGTGCATTCCCGCTGACACTGTCTCTGTGCTTTCTTTCTCCTGCATTTTCTCCAGGGATTGTTTTTATTAAAGTCCTTGAGCGTGGATACTGACTGGGCACAGAGTTCTCAGTGTACTTTAGATGAGCATTTTCTTCATTAGTAAAGGTCTGCAGCTGGTGTTGTTTACATTTTCACTATGTAAACTTTTGTGCATTGTCACTCTCTTTTGTTTATGTCTGTTTTTGGCGAGGGAGGGCAGAGTTTCTCAGGGCAACAGCACTGGTTGTCCTAGAAGTCACTCTGTACACTAGGCTGACCTCACACAAAAAGAGAACCCTGGCCTTTCTTTGCAGGTTTGTAATATGTAAATAATATAAATGATTAAGTTTCTCTTTACTGACTCTGAAGTAATTCCTGTGTCCTTTGATTGTCACAAATTTTTAGGTAAAAATAGTCTTTTAACACTGTCATTTTCACAATAATTCATTCTGTTTCATGGGCAGACAAGTTTTTCTCATCTTCCAGTATCAACTTGTTTTCTTTGGGTGAATTGAAGTTTTTTTTTTATTTGTCTCTTTTGTGCTTGGTTAATTGTTTTTCTTTTTTTCATCTCTTTGTTTACTGTTTACTTTGAATGAATTAAATAGAAGCAAAAACAGATTAAAAATCTTCTCTAATTGGTTTGTTTTATATATGAAAAAAACAAACAAAAGTTCTGCCTCTATAAAGCCATTGATGCCTCAAGTTCTGTTTGTATACTTTGTTTACAATTTTTAAAATGAGGCAATATTGATATATAATGATTATGCAATGTTATATGATGATTACCCTCTTTTCACCCTCTATCCTAGACTGGTTAGACATGATTTCCTCCCAGTTGTCCCTTGCATATTTCATGTATGATTTTGTGTGTGTTTGGGCCAGGTAATAAGGCTGTAATATGTCAGTAATTCCTATTGCCATGTCATAAGTCAGGAGAATTTTTCATCAGTGGCCTCCTCATCCTCCAGCTCTTATCAACTTTTATCTCCTTTGCTTTAATGTACCTGCAGTGTAGATGTGGGAACATGGAATTCCTTTCAGAGCCTGTGCTGTAAGGAGTCAGTTGTTCTCAATATTTGATGAGTTATAAGTCTGTGAAATAACTATTGTCCATTTAGAACAGGATTTCTTAGACCCCTGTCAAAAGCAGCCCCTGGCTTTGGTGGAATTGCAGTCAGTGAAAGGCAGTTTGAATATGTGTACATGTAGCAGAATGTCAGTAGTGAATTCTCTCCTAGGGCCTGCCACCTTCACCCTCACAGGTTTTTGGCCAGGTTGTCCATGTCATGCATATATTTCCATGTGTGGAGCGTGCTTCAGATCAAACCAGCAAGCCTTCTGCTACTCAGAAAATAGTCCCGCTCCAATGACAACAATGGGCATTTCTTGACTGGCAGGATGGAATTATACCACAAAGGATCCAAATCTGCCTATGGTAGTGTTCCATGCAGTTGTCTCTATGGTCTTCATTTGCTGTCTGCCTCTCTCCTGTGCCCATCCCAGATGGCCGTTACCTCTTTTACTCATCATCTGCCCACTGTAAATTTCTCCCTGTAGACCTGTTGGATGTCAGTTGCCCATCTGGTCGGGGGCCAGAGGTACGATGGTTTCCACCTCTTCATCCTTAAAGACACACACACAAATACAAATACACACACATACACACACTTTTTTTCTGTGTCACTTTGTAGTCTGTCCTGGAATTCTCTCTGTAGACCAGCATGGCCTTGAAATTACAGAGATCTCCCTGCCCTTATATCCCTTTGATATGCTTTTATTGTCTCATTGCTCTAGCAGGAGTATCAAATACACTATTGAAGAGATATGGAGAGAGAGGACATCCTTGTCTTGTTCATGATTTTGGAGGAATCGCCTTTAGTTTCTCTCCAATTAGTTTGATGCTGGCTGTTGTTTTCCTGTATATAGCTTTTATTATGTTTATGTATGTTCCTGTTATCCTTGATCTCTCCCAAGACCTTTATCATGAAGGGGTGTTGGATTTTGTCCAAGACTTTTTTAGCATCTAGTGGGATCGTGTAGTTTTTCTTTTTCAGATTATTTATATGGTGGAATACATTGATGGATTTTCATATGTTGAACCATCCCTGCATCCCTGGGATGAAGCCTACTTGATCATGGTGGATGATTTTTCTTATGTGTTCTTGGATACGATTTGCCAGTATTTTATTGAGTATTTTTGCATCAATGTTCATGAGAGAGTTTGGTCTGTAATTCCCTATCTTGGATGTGACTTTGTGTGGTTTGGGTACTATGGTAATAGTAGACTGGTAAAAAGAATTTGGCAGTGATCCCTCTGATTCTATTGTGTAAAAACAATTTGAAGAATATTGGTATTAGCTCTTCCTTGAATTTTTGGTAGAATTCTGCACCGACACCAACTGGCCCTTGAGTTTTTTTGGGTGGAAGACTTTTTGGCTGCTTCTATTTCCTTAGGGGATATATATCTGTTCAAATTTTTAACCTGTCCTTGATTTAATTTTGGTAAGTGATATCTATCTAAAAAATCATCCATTTCCTTTAAATTTTCCAATTTAGTGGAGTATATGTTTTCAAAGTATGACCTGATGATTCTTTGGATCTCCCAAGTGTCTTTTGTTATGTTCCCTTATTCATTTCTGATTTTGTTAATTAGCATGTTCTCTCTGTCTTTTGGTTAGGTTGGATAAAGTTTTTTCTATTTTGTTGATTTTTCTCAAAAATAACCTTTTTTATTGATTCTTTGTATTATTTTCTATGTTACCACTTTATTGATTTCAGCTCTCAATTTGATTATTTCCTGGTGTCTACACCTCCTGGATGAGTTTGCCTCTGTTTGTTCTAGAGATGTTAGGTGTTCTGTTAATTCTTCAGTATGGCAATTCTCCAGTTTCTTCATGTGGGCACTCAGTTCTATGTATTTTCCTCTTAGAACTGGTTTCAAAGTATCACAAAGGTTTGGGTATGTTGTGCCTATGTTTTCACTGAATTCTGGGAAGTCTTTGATTTCTATCTTTATTTCTTCCTTTACCCAGGGTTGATGAAATTAAGCACTGTTCATTTTCCATGAGGTTGTGAGGTTTTTGCAATTTGTGTTGACATTGAATTCTAATTTTAAAGCATGGTGGTCTGATAAGATTCATGGAGTTATTCAAATTTTTTAAATTTATTCTTCAGTTTAAATTTAGGTTAGAAACAAGGTTGCTTCACAAGTCAGTTCCAGATCCCTCTCCCTTTCCCTCCCCTCCTCGCCTGCCCTCCCCCCACCCCCCATTATCCCCTCATTTCCCCAGGTAGGATGAAGCCCTCCATGGGGGTGTCCATAGTATGTCATTTCATACAGGGCAGGGCCTAGACCCTCCCCCAAGAGTTCAGGGTGAGAGTGCATATCACATTGTTGGATGGGAGTCCAAAGTCCGTGTGTATACTCAGGATGAGTACTGATCTACTGCCCAAGGCTCAATAGATTACCTAGGCCTCCTCACTGACACCCACATTCAGGGAGTCTTGATCAGTCCCATGCTGGATTCCCAGGCTGATGCCTGGGATTCAAGAGTTAACCTTTGTCAGGTCAGCTGTTTCTGGGGGTTAAACCAGCCCAATCTTAATCCCTTTGGTCATCAGACCTCCCTCTCTGTTACTGGCTTTCTTGAGTTCAGCTCAGTACTTAACCATGGGAGTCTGCCTATTCTTCGATCAGCCACTAAATGAAGTTTCTGTTTCCCAGACTCTCTGGCCATGGGATTGTAGGCTGGCACTCCCCAGATCTATGTCTAAAATCCATATATGAGAGAGTACATGTCATGTTTCTCTTGTTGTGACTGGGTTACCTCACTCAGGACGGTTTCTTCTAGTGTCATCCATTTGCCTGCGAATCTCATGATTCCATTATTTTTTTTCTGCTGGATAGTTCTCCAAAATGTACCACATTTTCTCTATCCACTCTTCGGTTGAGGGACATCTAGGTTGCTTCCAAGTTCTGGCTATTACAAATAATGCTCCTATGAACATAGTGGAACAGACTTCCTTGTTGTATGAATGGGCATCTTTTGGATATATGCCTAAGAGTGGAGTTGCTGGGTCTTGTGGTAAGTTTATTCCAATTTTTCTGAGGAATCTCCATACTGATTTCCAAAGTGGCTGAACCAG